ACACAGAAAAAGCCAGAAGTGGCGCTGTGGCTCAAGTGATAGAGTGCTTGCCTTGAGCAAAAGAAGTTCAGGGACAGTGTTCAGGGCCTTGAGTTCAAGCCCCAGGCCTAGCAAACAACAACAACAACAAAAAAAAAAAAAACAGACAAACTTTGTAAGAAATTTGACTGAGAATGAAACTTTTTTTGTTTTCTTCTTTCTCTTTCTCTTCTCTTTTCTATTCTCTTCCTTCCTTCCTTCCCCCCCCTCCCTCCCTGCCCCCTTTTCTTTCTTCTTCCTTTTGTGCCAGTCCTGGGGCTTGAATGCAGGGCTTGGGTACTGACCCTGAGCTTTTTTGCTCAAGGTTAGTATTCTACCACTTGGGCCATAGTTTTTCACTTCTGGTTTTTTGGTAGTTAATTGGAGATAGCAGTCTTATAGACTTTCCTGCCTGAGCTGGTTTTGAGATCCTTAGATCTCAGCCTCCAGAGTAGTTAGGATTATGGGTATGAGCCACCCCTGCCTGGATATTTTTGTTTCTGTTTTATAATCAAAGTTTTTCTAAATGGTACGTGTAGACCAGTTTGTAACAATTCAGTTAGGTGGATCAGATTTTAAAAACAAAAACACAAATCTTGTGCATGCTGTTTGACCACATTGTTGAAGATAATGAAGACTCAGATGAAATTATGTTTAGAGAAGACTCAGATGAAATTGTTATATCTGAGATCTGCTTCAAAATAATGCAAAGGTGTCAGGAGGATGCGAGATACATAACACAAGATAGGATATGAGTTAGAGCCAAATAGTAGGACCACAGAAGTTCATCACACTACCTCACTACTTTTGTATCTGTTAAATTTTTTCCACATTAAAAAAAATAAATTGCCAGGCATGAGTGGTACATGCCTGCAATCCTAGCTACTCAGGGCCAAGATCTGAAAGATGTCTGCAGAAAAGTCCATGAGACTCCATCTCCAAATTACCCAGCAAAAGGCTGGGCTGGAATCATGGCTCAACTGGTAGCGTGCCAGCTGTGAACAAGGCAGCCAACAGCAGGTCCACATTAAAGCCTCATAATAATAATAGTGTTCTTCTTAGGATATAAAAACATGAGTAGTTTCTCTTGATTATTTCTTATTTATGTTGCTATAATAAATATGTATTATTTTATAAGCACAACAAATGCTGTTACTTGTTTGTTGAATGATTGCCTAATTGGAGATAGAACAGGAAGAGTGTGTCTCAGATAGAAGAGGATTCACAGTTAGGCCACAGGGTGGAGAATGTTAGGAGAGTAGGGTGGTGTCAGAAGCCAAACACTAAGCTCTGCAGAAGCTGGGAACAGCTGCAGGGCAGGGCGGGCCTCTGTTACCCGGCTTTGCTGGCTCAGGGCTTGGGACAACAGCTGCTGAGATCAGAAGGTAAAAGGGTGATCTAAGAATGTACAAGAAGCTTGTGGCAGGTAAGGGCTTCTGAATATTGTAATAGCTTTTCTTCCTTCTGTCTAGGCAGTGAGACCTAGTACTGGCTCTAGCCTGGGCCAGGTTTTCCGATGAATTCAACATAGGCTTGACTGATCAGATAAGCTGTCAGGATATGTGCATAATAATGGAAAGGGACTAGGGTAGGAAAGCAAGGATGACTAAAGCCAGGTTAGATTGAATAAGAGAAATATCCTCACTTCATCCTCTAACTCCAATCTGCATTTTTTTGGGGGGAGGGGGGCGGGGGAAGGGGGTTGGTCATGAGGCTTGAATTCAGAGCCTGGAAGCTGTCCCTGAGCTCCTTTTGCTCAAGGCTAGTAGTACTCTACCACTACGAGCCACAGCTCCACTTCTGGTTTTCTGTGGTTAATTGGAAAAAAGACTCACACACTTTCCTGCCCTGGTTGGCTTTAAAACAGGATCCTTAGATCCCAGCCTCCGGTGTAGCTAGGATTACAAGTGTGAACCACCAGCACCTGGCTCAATCCGCTTATTAAGATGGTCACAACTCCCTGTCATTCCTTGATTCTGAGAAGCCTCACCATAAGGCCTTTGTATACTTTCATCCCTACAGCCAGAGTCCTCTTCCCACTTGTCTTCAACTAGTTTGTATTCATCCTTCAGATCTCAACACAGTCACATTTCCTTCTGCATGGCCTCCTGCTCCCTGATTAGGTCAAATTCCGAACCCATGTTCTCAGCATCTGGTATTGCCATGCACAGCGCTTAGACAGTTGGAATCTTGTACTTGTTTTTGTGGTTGTTTAATCAGTATTGTCTCTCTCAACACACTGCAAACCTGGAGTGCAGGGACCATGCCTGATTTATCTCTCTCACACCTGGCACACTGTCTGGTCTCCAGAAGATGCTTACTAAGAGTTGAGTGAATGATGGAGCGAAGCAGAAGTTGCTGGGTTAGACTCTACCAGTTGAATCAGAAATATCTGTTTTATCCTCAGTGACTTAACTAAGAGCTCTCCTGAGCTTTCTCCATCTCTCCTCTCAGTGATTGGAAGGAACTTGCAGTAACGGTGCATCTCTCCTTCCAGGTCTGGAGGGGGTGCCATGAAAGGCAATTGGTGAGGCTTCCAGGCACAAGTGACTTCTGCTTCAGAGTGGGTGTACAGCTGGGCTGGGCTTGGCTGAGGTACTTATCAGAGCTGACAGCTCAAATATCGCCTTTTCTGAGAAACCTGACTGATCTTCCTCCCCATTAAATTGATTTTTTTTTTTTGGCTAGTCCTGGGGCTTGAACTCAGGGCCTGGGCACTGTTCCTGAGCTTCTTTTGTTCAAGGCTAGCACTGTACCACTTGAGCCACAGTGCCACTTCCAACTTTTTCTGTTTATGTGGTACTAAGGAATCGAACCCAGGGCTTCATGCATGCTAGGCAAACACTTTACCACTAAGCCACATTCCCAGCCCTCATCCTCTTCTTAGAACATCCTGTGGTTTGTAACTAGACTTTTTTTCTTTATTGTGATTTGTTGCCAGTTTTTTTCTCCTTTGCTATGAATCTGGGAATTGGATTTACTTGTCTACTCTTTTTTTTGGGAGGGGGGTCCGGTCGTGGGGCCTGAACTCTGGGCCTGGGCGCTGTCCCTCAGCTCTTCAGCTCAAGGCTAGCGGCCTACCACTTGAGCCACAGCACCATTTCTGGCTTTTTTCTGCATATATGGTGCTGAGGAATCAAACCCAGAGACTCATGCATACGAGGCAAGCACTCAAACACTGAGCCAACTTGCCAGCCCCTTGCTTGTCTACTCTTATAGTCCAGGGTTTACAAGAAGACTTGAATAGTTTCACCATTCCATGAAAGAATACATGGATGAGTTAATGGATAGCCTATAAGGAGGCTGGCAAGGAGGCCCTAGAGAGAAGAGAAACAGCTGGGGTCAAAGTGGGACAATAGCAGTCCAAGCCTCTGGTTTGCAGCATCTGAGAGGCCTTCTAGAAAGTTCTTTGCATTCCTGATGCCAGTGACAGGACTGTGCATGCCCAAGAGCTAGATCTGCTCTATACACCAAGACCCTTCAAAGTCCAACCCAAAGAGAACCTGGTTGGTAAGGAAACAGGGGAAAAAAGCCCAATCTCAGGATCTGGGCAAACATTGGCAGCACCCAAGCCCAGCTTCTCTCCCTGGGTTCCTTGGACTGAAGCTCCTGGCATCTATCAGGGAGGCCTGGCCTGGAGCCCATCCTGCTCTGCTTAGACCCTTTCTGCTGAGGTCCCCCCACCCGCAGGGGGTTCCTGTCTTAGCAGGAATTCATAGGAGATTGAAATGAGCAGCTGGGGCAGTCGGAGTGGGAGGGGAAGTGGTGGGGAGCAGTGATCAAAGGCTTTGTGTGTGAGGGGCAGGAGTCGGGGACTGTGTGTGCTGGCTTGCCCAGAGTACAAAGAAATGAGAGATAGAGACAGCAGCTCAGAAAAGGGGACAAGCTAGAGAGAGAGAGAGAGAGAGAGAGAGAGAGAGAGAGAGAGAGAGAGAGAGAGAGAAGCACAAAGACAGATGTATAGAAAGATAAAGTTAAAGACAGAGAGAAGATAGAGCATAGGAGAAGAAAGCCAAAACCGAGGCAGAGGGAGGAGGAGGCTGGAGACAGAAGAACATAGAAACTGAGAAATTATGGGAGATAGAGAGGGGCAAAGATAAAAGGTCAAAGATACTGAAAGGGATGCAGAGACAGAGAGAAAAGGAGAAAACGGAAACTGAGACCAAGGGAGAGTGACATTTACTCACTCCTTCCACATTTATTGAGCACTCATGCTCAGGGCACGGGGTGTGTAAGAAGACACAAATGGTAGGGAAGACAGAACCTGAGAGAGAGACGAAAAAGGGAGAAGCAGAAACTACAGACTGAGATAGAGACATGGGAGATGGTGGCAGGGACACAGGCTGAAAAAAAAAAGGAGGAGGAAGGGATCAAAGTCCTGCAGGCTGATGGGGCAGGCCAAGTGAGGGCCGAAGGCAACTGGAGGAGAAGCAGGACAGGAAGATTTGCCCCAGATCTCCCCGGGGCAGCTTTGTCTCCAGGTGCGCAGACATAGCTTTCACCGCAGCCCTCACCTCCCTTCGCCTCAAAGGCTCTGGGGGCGGCTCTGATGACTGACAACCTCCTTCTGCTCCTCCTCCTGCTGCTCCTGCCTCCCCCTTCTCTGCCTGAGCCCCAGGTCAGAGGGAGCCTGGCTCGACAAGGAGGAGAGGATTTAGGCAGTTGATAGATAAAGAAAGCCTCCCCCCTCTCCAGAGAAAATCCTTGGAGCACTCAGGAGATTGGAAAATGTCCCAGTGGCGGGGGGAAGGGAGTGGGGGGGGGGGAGTATGTGAATTCAGCTTCCTAATTAATCAGGGAAGATGTCTATTCCCGCTGGGGTCTGTAACCCAGCCTCCAATACACTAAAATCTTCCTGAAATCTGAACCCAAGAAAAAGAAGGCATTTGTAGCACATGCCCAGCCCTCCCCCCTTTTCTTCCTCCCACGTCACCGAGAAAATGCCGCAAAGAAGAGGGTGGGCTGGAGAATCAGTCACCTACCCGCTGGTGCCGGGTCTCTGGGCCTGGGAGAAACGCCAATCCGTGTTGGGCGGGGCTTGCTGTGAAGAAAACAGAGGGAAAGGGGTTGAGTACCCACGTGCAGTCAGATTGTCATCAGAGCCCCTGGGGATGGGCTAGGAGAAGGAGAGGAGTGGGCAAAATTAGGAAATGTGGCAAAATGGAGAAGGGTAGACACATCTCCAAAGATGGGGGTAGGAGGAGGCAGGAACATCGCCACAGGTCTTTGAGGTCTGAGGTACCAGAGACAAAAACAATCAAACACACAACAACAACAACAAAAACCAAAACAGTTCATCTGATCATAATGAACAAGCCCACATTTCTTTGCCAAAAAAATGGTCCCTTTTGAGGATAATGGGAGGTAAATATGATCAAAGTGCATTATATACATGTATGAAAATGTCCTAATGACACCCATTATTTTGTACAATTAATACACACTGATTAAAAGATGAACAGAAGAAAAAACGACTCCAAACTTCTGAGCCAAAATGCAAGAACTGAGCAGTGTCTTCTTAGAACTGCACTGGTGGTGGGGTTGGGGGCAGGGGTAGGAAGGAGGCAGAGAAGGCCCTCAGAAGTGACAGAGAAGGCTTTTCCACAGAATTCCACCAGTCCTGGAATAAAGTTATTCAGCTCCTCAGCTGGAAACAAAGCCTCCTCTCCAGCAAAATGGCTGCTACTCTGGGTAACCCTTTTCCTGCCAAGTTGTGCAATGACACATTCAGAAGGCCACCCCCTCCAGGCCTTGGCTCTCAAGGATCTTTTCCCACAGCTAAATACATTATTAATTTAGGAGTCATGCCAGACTGGGCCTTTGCAGGGCATCCAAGCCCCAGGACACCTCTCACCCTTAGAACTCCATGCCACACAATGGCTTGTGACTGAGGAGAACAAGGCTGCTCTGTCTGGGACAGAGAAAATGGCTGGGAGGGAGCCCAGAAGGATCAAGATCCCACAACCTCAAAGCAGAGCCAACTATGTCTTCAGGGCCCCCAAGGGGCTGATCTGTAGCCATCTCTCACCTGGCCAAATGTGCCAGGGCCCTGCCAGGCACTTAATTTCCAAGTCCCTCTGAGTCTTTCTAGGAGGTGTGTGATCCTATCACACACTGGCACAAGTACACCTATAGTCAAGTCCTCATGGGTTCTGGGGTGTTCTGGTAATTAGTTCTCACACTCATTCCCAGGAGTGAAGTATGAGCATCTCAGATCACACTGGGGAGAAGAAAGCCCTAACACTTCCAGTCACACTAATGGCTCATAGGTGACAGTGCCAGAAGCTTCACTTTTCAGGTGCACCCAGAGCTATACCTGATTCCATGGAGAAGGACATAGGGATGTGTAGCCCGTAACCACTGTAGTGTGCACACACATGTACCAATCCTGGGCCTTGAACTCAGGGCCTAAGTGCTGTCTCTGAGCTTTTTTGCTCAAGGCTAGCTTTCTACCATTTAAGCCATAGGTCCACTTCCAGCTTTTTGCTGGTTAATTGAAGGTAAGAGTTCATGGACTTTTCTGCCAAGCCTAACTTCAAACCATGATCCTCAGATTTCAGCCTCCTGACTAGCAAGGATTACTGCTATGAGCCAGGGGGGCTGGTCACTGTATTCTTTTTTTTTTTGGTGGGGGGGGTCTGGTCATGGGGCTTGAACTCTGGGCCTGGGCGCTGTCCCTCAGCTCTTCAGCTCAAGGCTAGCACTCTACCACTTGAGCCACAGTGCCACTTCTGGCTTTTTTCTTTTTGCTTATGTGGTGCTGAGGAATCGAACCCAGGGCCTCAGGCATGCAAGGCAAGCGCCCTACCACTGAGCCACCTTCCCAGCCCTCACTGTATTCTTAAACACAGCAGAATCCATGTGAAGATCGTAATGGCAGAAGAGGGAGGTGGGCAAAACCCATGGGTCTAGGTTTGTTCAGTGAGGGCTGATGAGGAGCTCTCAAGACCTTCTTCCACATTTAGGCTCCCTATGGGAAAAGGATGTCAGCTTTTCCCATCCTTGCAGATGCCCATTATCTCTTGCCTCTTTTCCTAGTATTACAAATGCCAGGCCATTCACAGCACACATTTGAGTTCAACACACCTGGGTCAGTTGTATTCTCTGTCACTTACTCTGAACTTAATCCTAAGTGGCTTGACCTATGAAACTAAGTTACAAGGTTGCTAGTACCCATCCTGCATGTGGTAAGAAGAACAAACTAATATCCAGATCCTTCAAAGAGGTGGTTGGTGATAAACTTCACCCAGTTAGCTATCAGAAGACCCTGAAGACGTTGTCTCAAAATATAGCCTAGGCCTGGCACCAGCCCAAGCAGAAAAGTTAAATTCACCACCAAAAAGCCAGAAGTGGAACTGGGGATCCAGTGATAGAAACCTCCCCGCCCAGGCTTGAGCAAAAAAGCTAAGGGACAGCACCATCTCTGAGCCAAAGTTTCAGTGCTGGTATGCAGACACACACAAAAAGCCCATACAGTAGGGACCAGGTGGTGGGATTGATATAATTTAGAATAAAACCTCCTAAGGTTGTGGACACTTGCACTATTATAGTTTCCCCACATATGAGAGTATCTTTGGTCACTAGCAAAGGCTGGTGGTTTTCCATTTGCCAGAAGAAGAGGAAGAAAGTTTCACCAAGAGTCTTTGATACTACATCACTGGGCACATAGTGTTCATGACAAAGCCAAAACCTATTTCTAGAGGTCCAGAGTCTGGGAAGGAATGGGCTACTGGTGCTACTGGGGTCTCAATCCTATTGAAGCTTGTTCACCCACCCAGCCCAGACCCTGACTCTCCTTGGCCTATACTGGCTAGGCTTGCCCATCAGTCTGAGGCTTCCGGAAGGAGGGGACTTGCCATTTGCATAGAGCCTCAGGCCCAGCAGGATCCGAAGACCTGAGAGTCAGGAAATCCTGCTTGCCCAGGTCTAAAATGCCCAGTGAGCTCCAGCCCCAGGGGCCACCGCAGGCTCAGGCCTTAGGGGAAAGTTGTCAGGTCCGGCCCAGTGCCGGGTATAGGCAGGGTGGGGAGAAGCTCTAAGTCCTCGATCTGGGCAGTAGAGACCTGGGACGCTCGCTCTCCAGGTGAGTACGTCTGAAGACGGCAGAGGGATGCTGGGCGTGGGCCCGTGTGCAGCTGGCAGCCCACGCACTCTTGCCCGCAGATGAGGCCGCAAGTGCGGCGGGTGGGGCCCGTGGGTGTGGTCTGCGGGGAGGCCACAGGTGCACCTTCCGGTCAACCACTTCCTCTCCACCCCTGCGGTTGGGTGGGGCAGGGATTGGCTGGGGAAGCCTAGAGAGCGATACTTAAGAGGATCTTTGACAGCTTCCAGTGGGGACCCTAATCCCTGTTAAAAAAAAAAAAAAAATCGCTAGAAATCCCCCAGGAGCTTGGCGGTTCCAGCCTTTCTGAGGGTGCGGGCGGGGTCGGACCCATCTCCCCCGCGCCCACAACCACCACCAAGGCTTCTCAGCACTGGGAACCCGGTGGCTTGTCTCACCTCCCCCCACCACTCTGATTCCCGGCGGCGCAGTCGCAGTCGGTTCCCATGGAACCCTCCAGAAGCCGAGCCGGCCCAGGAGGAGTGGATGCACGGTCCAAGCCCTCACCTGGCTCCGCTCCCGCAGTGTATTAGAGCGGGATCGGAAGGTGTCAGGCTCCAGCGCCAGGGCCGAGGGCTGCTGAACGCTGAGGGGCCTGAGGAAAGTGAAGTCACTGCCGTCGGAGGCCGGCGAAAAGCACGTCCTGTAGCAGTGGCTCTGCGAGTCTGTGGGCCGCAGTGTCACCTCCATGTACTTGAGGGTGCCATCTGAGCTCACCTGCAGGTTGGGGCTGGACTGCTTATAGAATTCCCGAGAGGGTGAGTCCTGGCGCCCACAGCACTGGCCCCCGCCCCCCTCCCCATCCGCGTGGCCCCGAAGGCACTTAGCTGACAGGAAGGTGAAGGTGACTAAGGATAAGAGACTGATGGCTGCTAGAGCCACGATGAGGTAAAGGGTAAGGTCTGAGCGCTCGGGAGGGTGTGTGAGGAAGTCACTGGATTTGGGCATTTCCTCAGCATCCTCGTCCTCCAGAACCAGCAGCACCGTGGCTGTAGAGGAGAGCGAAGGGTCTCCATTGTCCCTCACTAGGACCACCACCTGCTGGGTGTCAGAGTCATCCTCCAGCAAGGCTCGGGCTGTGCGCACCTCACCGGTGTGTGCAGACACTAGGAATAGTCCTGGGGCTGTGGACTGTGGCAACAGGGAATAAGAGAGCCACGCATTGTGGCCTGCGTCAGCATCCACGGCTGTCACCTTGGTCACCAAGGAGCCAGCAGGAGCAGAGCGAGGGAGACGCTGGGGGGCTGAGAGTTCCCTGCCAGGCCGGGGGTGCAGCACGGCCGGGGCGTTATCATTCTGGTCAAGAACAAACACATGGAGAGATGTGTTAGCATGCAATGGGGGAGAGCCGGAGTCTCGAACTCCCACCACAATCTGCAGCATCTGCAGTAATTCATAGTCAAAGGTACGCTGGGCAAAGACCCGTCCATCCTCTGGGTTGACATACACAAAGGAGGAGGCTGGCGCTCCTTGAATCTGACTCCCTACAATGGAGTAGGCGAGGCGGGCATTATCCCCAGTATCTGGATCTGAGGCAGCCACAGTGCAGAGAAGGGAGCCAGGAGGTCGGTTTTCTGGGATGTAAGCTGTGTAGAGCTGCTGGATGAAGTGGGGTGCGTTGTCATTTACATCTGAAATGTTGAGTCTGATGGTGAGATGGGTGTGCAGGGGAGGTGAGCCAGCGTCACTGGCCAGCAGCTCAATGATATAATGGGACATGGCCTCACGGTCCAAGGGCTGGCTGGTAAGCAGTGAGTAGTGGTTCTCAGAAGGCTTGATCTGAAATGGCAGGTCTGGAGAGATACTCAGGCTTACTTCACCATTTCTACCTGAGTCTCGGTCCCGCACATTAAACAACCCCACTACTGTTCCCATTGGTGTGCTCTCTGGGACAGGATTGACCAAAGAGGCCAGCAGCACCTCAGGAGCATTGTCATTGA